CCGACCGATTTTGACTTTGGAAAAGGGTGGAGACGGGTGGAAAGGGGTTTTCCTGGGTTATGCCGCTTTGGGTCGGCTGGCCGCCACCTGGGACCACCCGCGTACGTGTATTGTACCCGCTCCTGGGCCCTGGGGCGCCCCCCCCCCCCCCCCCTTTCGCAATTCGCCGTTGGGAACAGTCTGAGGGGAGGCCGGCCCCCTGGATACGCCGGATTACGATACGCCTGGCCCTTGTTGAAAGTGCTCGGTCGCTGCCCACGAGATGGCGCTTGTCTCGATACGGTAATTCATTTACGCCTAGCCGGATTGGACTTGGGCCGGCTGGTTGGTTGGTTGGTTAGCCAGTAACAGCGAACGTGTTGGTTACCCAACGGGCAAAATGCCTGTTCGATGACTCCGTGCCAAGAATGAATGGGATTCGGAGTTATATTCCTCCGTTGTGATCTGCCTCTCGCAGTGTTCCATCGCATCGCCCATACGACGACGGAGACACAGTGGACGCAGTTGAACTTCGAGTTTTGCAGATACATGCAGATACGGCAGGCCGCGTCCGCAGGCAGTGGATGATAATACAATCACCTCTCTTGGCATCCCCCCACGTTGCTCATCTCAAGTGCCTACGGTCATCCCCCCCCATGGACTGGCATCCAGCGCGGTTCTTCGATTCCCGAACACCTCCATCCTCTCCGTTCGCTCTGCTCATTCTCAACCAACCAATCAACGAAGATGCCTGCAAGATCCTCAAGAAGCATGGTGAGATTCAGATCCAGACCCAGACCCAGATCCTTGGACGGAAGAAGAAAGGAAAAAGAGAAAAAGAAAAACCCATCCCTGGATGCATATTTCATATAACCTAAACAACTTACCCAACAACCAAATCTAGCAAGCTTTACAATCTGCGCAGATGGCGGCGCAAATCGCTTTTATGCCCTCATGCAGAGGTGGGAGAAGGAGTCTGTGGAGGTATCTATCTATCTATCTATATATATATATTTTCTTCCCCTTCAATGCATAATTTCCCTTTTTTATGTAGAACAAAAATTTAAAAAATTGAAAATCTGAAATACCCCTTATCAAATCCTTCCTAAGAACCATGAAAGCTCCCCGACGCAATAGTCGGCGACCTAGACTCCATCAGCCCACACGTCCGCATGTACTATGAAAGCCTGCATGTCCCCGTCATCCACGATCCGGACCAAGAGTACACAGACTTCACGAAATGTATACGTTATATACAATCCCGTCGTTCTGCTGCTGCTGCTGCTGCTGCCGCTGCCGCTATCAAGGATACCCACAACAGCAGTGCAACATCATCAGTTCCAGCTCCAGCTCCGAGAACGGAAGAAACCCATCCAGCGTTCGACGTGCTTATCCTGGGCGGCCTAGGCGGCCGCGTCGACCATGCCTTCTCGCAAATCCACCACCTCTACACCTCTTCAAGACATACGCCCCCATCACCAGCAACATTCACATATACCGATGGCGAACTATACCTCGTCTCCGAAGAGAGCGTGACGTTCGTCTTACCCCGCGGAGACAACAGGATCCACATACCCGGCGGATCACGCATGGGGCCGTCGAAGTCGAAGTGCACCACCACCGAATACTGCACGAGTCACTGATTCAGAGAGGGATATGCCAACGACAACACCTCTGGCCGAGAACGTCGGCATCATCCCCATCGCCGGGCC